TAAATCCCCTATGAACCAAAGGGACCAAGATAACTCATTAAGAGTACCGGTCAGGGAGGTCCACCCCGACGACTACGAAGACCAACAGGACACGCCTGAACCGCGGACGGGTCGAGGGTTCGGTCGGCCTGGACGAATCGTGGAGAAGGTCTCGGCTGCTGGACCTGAAGATCGGTCTCCGCTCCAGGCGTAAGACGACCGGACTGGTAGGGACCGACCGGCAGGTCCTGAAAGCGAACAGGGAACATCGGACGGTGTCAGTGACCAGCTATAAAACGTGGCAGGACAATCATCCAAGTGTTTGGTCTTCGAAGTCCAATTCGAATCGTGGGTCTTCCAAAACGCGACATACGCCACTCTCCGCGCGACAAAGACCAGACGCGACTCGTGCCACATGTGGCAAGTCTCAGCCAAGCTTCTGTAACTCAGCCCTACTCAGTCTCTCCCTACTAAGTCACATAGCAGCCAACATGCGGGTCCCGGAATCATGGTCCACACCGGCCTCCATGAATTGCTAGAACCATGGTTTCATGTAGGTGCCCTTATGAGTTGCTTCGGTGTTATACTCTGTTTCTAAGAACATTTCCATGACTCGGGTCCAAACAAATTCAAACAATTCCACCCTCATCAAAGCTGCCGAAAGAAAATGGCATGTTCTCCTCCAGGCTGTGTAGAAGACTGGAAGACTGCAGGTTCTTTTGTTAAACTTGCACGTTTGTTGAACTTGCCCGCCCAAAGCAGAGTATTATGTCTGACACAATCTGACACACTTAGAATATCATCAAGGATCACAATTCTCATTTTGGGTGTACACGGAAATACATCCTGTTACACACACTGCAACAGCATCTAGTGCAACCAACACTTCTGACAGCAGTCTCCATTGTGCAGATTGGTTGTTACATGTTGTTGGTCTTTGAGTCGTGACGTTTGGAGGCTGTAAATGTGCAGCACAAAGAGACAGCTGCATGTCCTAAAGAATCTGCTCAGAAGCTTCATAGGCTTGTTCTCCATGTTACTTTGACATACTTGGCTCTAAACACCAACAGCTTCATTCGCAAGACTTCACGATCTTGAAGTAAACTTCCATTTTTGGAAAACACAAATAGACACACCAGTGGTGGGACACCTTTCCTTCCGGTTGGTCCCGATGTCCCGACTCGGAGCACGTTTGCGGCGTTTGCGGCCTCCAAGGGTTCGGTTCGGCCTCGGGTCTCCGCGAGTCGCTGGAACAGTGGAGCCCACATTTGGACCCTGAGTGGTTTTCAAGATCCTCATGAGGTGTAGGGAGGTGTAGGGAGGTGTAGGCGACAAGCTGTTCTGGCGGCATGGTGAATGACAGCGACAAGCTTCCTTTCGTTGAAATCCTGTTGTTTTGAATTCCGTTGATGCTTCCTTGGATCGGTTTTGAGCTGACTTCAACTCCTTTGCTGTCCTGGTCCTTTGTCGGCTTCTTTTTTGGATCGTACCCTCGATATAATTCTGTCTGATTCCGGTGAACTCCTTGCATTCCCGAACTGCTTTCGCTCTTTTTCCAAAAGGGACGCCTGTGATTTTTGAAGGGGGAACCCATCGTGGTAACCCTCCCGGAGGAGCCTTTGCAGGAAGATTGGTAGAGATTAGCGTCTTTGAGAACCATTCAGAGAATTCAAAGCATGTTTTAAACTATTCATGAATGTCTTTTCCAAGGCCTTGTAGACCTTGGGAGGTATTATATTGTAATATATATATATATATATCAACCGCCCGTAGGATATTATATAATATACCAGCTTGTGTTCAAAACTCTGCAATGCTCTTCTTCATCGTTTTCACCCATCTATTTGGCCTTCTTGATCTTGTCTTCCACTCTTACACCAATTCCAACCCACCTTGCCCGGTGTCCGCCCTCGCAATGCCAAACGGCAGGGGCCGTAGAGGGGATGCTAAGGGCGTCCGCTCCTCGTGGTCCCACTTGAAAAAGCAAGGGGCGCGGTTTTGTCGTCGACCGAAGAATCATGGATTGACCATTTCCTTTGGATCCACATACCTTGTATATCTCATTGCCAGGAACAGTGGATGATGATGATGATGAGGTTTCAGGCCTTTCTCTAAATCATCATAAGACCTTTAAAACCGACTGCCTAGCCAGGTTCCGTGAGTTCCCTGGGACAGACCCAACACATACCAGGGCCCCTCCTTTTTGAGGAGCTTTGCAGGTGTTTTCACCTGCCACCGGGGCTTCCGGGTCAGGGACCCCAATGGTGGACCAAGCGACGCGGAAGCTCCAGGCGGGATCGGCCGGGGCGGGTAGAGGGTGCCGGGCCGCGGTGGTGAACACGTCGCATAGAGCGTTCAACAAGCTCCAGGTCAAACATGGAACAAAACACACACACACACTCTGACATTGGTTTTCAGTTACACTCAGTTCCCACGTTGAGAAGGAAGGCGATGGAACTGCATGGTGAAAGGTCCAAAGACTTGAAGGTGTTTTAACATTGAGGTT